TAAACGTGTCTTTGGCATTACAATAAGCCCGATCTCCATTCAACTCCAGCAGTTTTCCAGCTTTCAGATATGCTCTAGTATAAAAGCTCATCCACCCTGTAACGATACAGCAATCATCTCAACCATTCACACTTACCCCTAGCACCAAAAACCATTTCACATTAAGTGTCATACACCTTATGCGTGCCTTACAATTGTCCACCCACGATTCCCCACCTCATTTTTTTACCACTGTCCTGTAGCCCCATACACAACGTCCTTGGCACTCACTCTCCACCCTCCACTCCAAAAACCCCTTCCTGGCATGTTCTTTTTCTTCCTTGCCTCTACACAACACTTTCAATTCCCACCTTTTTCCCGGGTCATTGTGGCTGGAGTTGAGACGTCGTCCGAAAGTTGGACGTGACGGGCGCCCACTTCCTCGACACTTCCTCTTCCTCCAAGCTCGTCTCCCCAACCTTCCTCATAGTGCACCTCCACCTCTATCCAACCTCTTTCCCCTGTCTCACTACTTGGAAAAACCGACATTTCATTCCTTCCTCTAGTGCCCACATTCAATTCCCCATGTCCCGGTACCTGGTCTCCCATCTTTCCCTCTGGCATGGTTTCCTCCGATTTAGGAAACATCTCCTGCAAAACTGTCTCAAGCACTATGTCATTTCTACATCCTCTTGTTTGCAATCCTTCCTCTGCCCCATACGTACGCCTCTTCAGATTGCCACTCAATTGCTCCACAGCACCCCTCGGCTCCACCACGTCGTTGCCTGTTCTCGACACTTCCTTCACTCCACAACCGACCAACGCCTACGTCCAATCCTGGTCCGAACTGATCCGTCACCACAGATCCTTGCTCGAAATGTCACTCCTTGTGTATTACCCTGGTCCAGTCTCTGCCTCACACATTCAGCCACTAGTGATCATCACCATCACACAGCCTACAAGTCCTCGTTGTCCCAGCATAAGTTCGAATATTTGTGTTGCTGAATTCCTCGAAGAACACATACGATGGTATTGGTTGCTTCAGAATCATCTTCAGACTAAAACTGCCTTCTGGATAACCCTCATACGCCCCTGCCGTCCACTTGCCTTGTTCCAAACTTTGCAAACACACTACGGAGGTCAGCTTCATTCGCCTCGAAAGGCACATTGCATAGCTTAATATACGTAAATTGACGTGATACGTAGATCATCCTTACCCGGATTTCCTCATTAACCTCGATGCTGACATCTTGACATCTTGTGGTGGCCGCACACAACCCGACGTACGAACCACAGCCCAGCTGGTCGGGTACTAACTACAGATGCCTGTCCAGCGCCTTCTTGAAAACAGCCAAGGGTCTATTGGTAATCCCCCTTATATATGCTGGGAGGCAGTTGAACAGTCTTGGGTCCCTGATACTTATTGTGTTGTCTCTTAACATGCTAGTGACACCCCTGCTTTTCATTGGGGGGATGTTGCACTGTCTGCCGAGTCCTTTTGCTTTCATAGTGAGTGATTTTCGTGTGCAAGTTTGGTACTAGTTGCTCTAGGATTTTCCAGGTGTATATAATCATGTATCTCTCCCGCCTGCATTCCAGGGAGTACAGGTTCAGGAACTTCAAGCGCTCCCAGTAAGTGAGGTGTTTTATCTCCGTTATGCGCGCCGTGAAGGTTCTCTGTACATTACCTAGGTCAACAATTTCACCTGCCTTGAAAGGTGCTGTTAGTGTGCCGCAATATTCCAGCCTAGATAAAACAAGCGACCTGAAGAGTGTCATCATGGGCTTGGCCTCCCTAGCTTTGAAGGTTCTCATTATCCACCCTGTCATTTTTCTAGCAGCTGCGATTGACACAATGTTATGGTTTTTTAGGTGAAATCCTCCGACATGATCACTCCCAGGTCTTTGACGTTGGTTTTTCACTCTGTTGTGTTGTTGGAATTTGTTTCATACTCCGATGTAGTATTAATTTCCTCATGTTTACCATATCTGAGTAATTGAAATTTCTCATCGTTGAACTTGATATTGTTTTCTGCAGCCCACTGAAAGATTCTGTTGATGTCCGCCTGGAGTTTTGCAGTGTCTGCAATGTCTGCCTGGAGCCTTGCAGTGTCTGCAATGTCTGCCTGGAGCCTTGCAGTGTCTGCAATGGAAGACACTGTCATGTAGATTCGGGTGTCATCTGCAGAGGAAGACACGGTGCTGTGGCTGACATCCTTGTCTATGTCAGATATGAGGATGAGGAACAAGATGGGAGCGAGTACTGTGCCTTGTGGAACAGAGCTTTTCACCGTAGCTGCCTCGGACTTTACTCTGTTGACTACTACTCTTTGTGTTTTATTTGTCAGGAAATTATAGGTCTATCTACCAACTTTTCCTGTTATTCCTTTGTCATGCATTTTGTGCGCTATTACGCCATGGTCACACTTGTCGAAGGCTTTTGCAAAGTCTGTGTATATTACATCTGCATTCTTTTTGTCTTCTAGACCATCCAGGACCTTGTCATAGTGATCCAGTAGTTGGGACAGACAGGAGCGACCTGTTCTAAACCCATGTTGCCCTGGGTTGTGTAACTGATGGGTTTCTAGATGGGTGGCGATCTTGCTTCTTAGGACCCTTTCTAAGATTTTATGATATGGGATGTTAGCGCGATTGGTCTGTGAAAATTATATGCATTAAGTTCACAGGCAGTCCTGAAATATTACACGCACATAATTTGGGGAGGACACAATTAAAACAGACTTACTGATATTCGATGTACCTAATCATAGGTTTTCCTGGAGTTCCGGGGGTCAACGCCCTCGCGGCCCAGCCTGTGCAGGCCTCATGGTGGATCAGGGCCTGATCAACCAGGCTGTTACTGCTGGCTGCACGCAATCCAACGTACGAGCCACAGCCCGGCTGGTCAGGTACCGACTTTAGGTGCTTATCCAGTGCCTGCTTGAAGACAGCCAGGGGTCTGTTGGTAATCCCCCTTATGTATGCTGGGAGGCAGTTGAACAGTCTTGGGCCCCTGACACTTATTGTGTTGTCTCTTAACGTGCTAGTGACACCCCTGGTTTTCATTGGGGGGATGTTGCATCGTCTGCCAAGTCTTTTGCTTTCGTAGTGAGTGATTTTCGTGTGCAAGTTCGGTACTAGTCCCTCTAGGATTTTCCAGGTGTATATAATCATGTATCTCTCCCGCCTGCGTTCCAGGGAATACAGGTTTAGGAACTTCAAGCGCTCCCAGTAATTGAGGTGTTTTATCTCCGTTATGAGCGCCGTGAAAGTTCTCTGTACATTTTCTAGGTCAGCAATTTCACCTGCCTTGAAAGGTGCTGTTAGTGTGCAGCAATATTCCAGCCTAGATGCAACAAGTGACCTGAAGTGTGTCATCATGGGCTTGGCATCCCTAGTTTTGAAGGTTCTCATTATCCATCCTGTCATTTTTCTAGCAGATGCGATTGATACATTGTTATGGTCCTTGAAGGTGAGATCCTCCGACATGATCACTCCCAAGTCTTTGACGTTGGTTTTTCGCTCTATTTTGTGGCTGGAATTTGTTTTATACTCTGATGAAGTTTTAATTTCCTCGTGTTTACCATATCAGAGTAATTGAAATTTCTCATCGTTGAACTTCATATTGTTTTCTGCAGCCCATTGAAAGATTTGGTTGATGTCCGCCTGGAGCCTTGCAGTGTCTGCAATGGAAGACACTGTCATGCAGATTCGGGTGTCATCTGCAAAGGAAGACACGGTGCTGTGGCTAACATCCTTGTCTGTCAGATATGAGGATGAGGAACAAGATGGGAGCGAGTACTGTGCCTTGCGGAACAGAGCTTTATACCGTAGCCACCTCGGACTTTACTCTGTTGACTACTACTCTTTGTGTTCTGTTAGTGAGGAAATTATAGATCCATCTACCAACTTTTCCTGTTATTCCTTTAGCACGCATTTTGTGCGCTATTACGCCATGGTCACACTTGTCGAAGGCTTTTGCAAAGTCTGTGTATATTACATCTGCATTCTTTTTGTCTTCTAGTGCATCTAGGACCTTGTCGTAGTGATCCAGTAGCTGAGACAGACAGGAACGACCTGTCTGTCCCTGGGTTGTGTAACTGATGGATATCTAGATGGGTGGCGATCTTGCTTCTTAGGATCCTTTCAAAGATTTTTATGATATGGGATGTTAGTGCTATCGGTCTGTAGTTCTTTGCTATTGCTTTACTGCCCCCTTTGCGGAGTGGGGCTATGTCTGTTGTTTTTAGTAACTGTGGGACGACCCCCGTGTCCATGCTCCCTCTCCATAGGATGTTAAGAGCACATGATAGGGGCTTCTTGCAGTTCTTGATGAACACGGAGTTCCATGAGTCTGGCCCTGGGGCAAAGTGCATGGGCATGTCATTTATCGCCTGTTCGAAGTCATTTGGCGTCAGGATAACATCAGATAGGCTTGTGTTAACCAAATTCTGTGGCTCTCTCATAAAAAATTCATTTAGATCTTCGACTCTCAGTCATATTGGGACTTGAGTAGCTCACTCATTTCCTTGCTGTCATCTGTGTAGGACCCATCTTGTTCCTTAAAAGATGCAAATTATATATAAGCCCAAATATAACAAGCGTAGCATTTTTTATTTTAATTTGAAAGTATTTCGGAAATGTGTATATATACACATACCCTCCATATGTATTTCCCAGCAATTGATATTTAACCCTTTCATGCCTCTAACTTCCGCCAGTGTGTCAGCTCTCTGGCATGCGGAGTAAGAGATAAGGATAAACCGTTGGTGGAGTGTTCTGAGGTGTACTGGCCTTATCAGTAGTGGTTATGACTACATGGCGGCCGCCTCGCCTCTAATCTTATCGCAGTTGCCATTTTATACCAACTGATCTCTTTATGTACAATTTTTCTAACGATAATGAAGTTGTCTCTACCTTACGCTCACTGTGTCTAAAAATGAATGACACCCTAACTTTTGTATGGGTTGTAAAACTGGTGAAATTAACTTGGTAAGGCAGTCAGTTATTTCTTCGAGGGGACACAAGACACCTTCAGTAGTGAATATATCGTTGATAAGTGGACTTTATCTTGACCTGAAGTGGGCACTAGTCACTGTGATAGTGTCAGAGCTAGCAGTGTGTCCATGCTGGTGACAGGAACAGCTGCACTGTCGTCCTTATAGTGAGCTTGTAATGGTGAGTGTGCAGTACCTGCTCGTTTGATGATACCATCAGGACAGTTGTGTTTTGTTGGGTTGAGTGTAACGACGTAGGCTAAAGTGGTAGTGTCTTTGGGAGTCTAAAACTTCAGACCGATGCAATCCCGTCTTCAGTAGTCTGGTACGGAAGACGAATTTTCAGTTAAATGCGCACATATACTTATTATCAGCTAAAAAATGAGTTAGGTATCTTTATTTCCGAAACGTTTCGACGACACAGTAGGCTTCTTCAGTCAAATACAAAGGTGACTAAATATGGAGATGGTGGATAGGTGAAGATGTGATTAGTCCATCAACCTTGAAGAAGTAATCGAGTGGTCAGCTTCTCTGATACAAGACTCTTGTGTTTTGTGGCGTTTTGGCCACAGTGGTAGAGTATATCCACAGAATGTAAATAAAACACGAAATGCGATTACTTCATTTTATTTCGAAAACGTTTCACCCACCAGGGACGAAATTGATAGTCCCTGGAAGACGAAAGATCTTCACAATCAATAAAATGTCGTAACCCGTGAGCGTGTTCAATGTGTCCATCCAAACTGGTTGAATAATAAAATGGTATAAAGAGAGTTTCCATTAATGGGGTCAAATCTGAATGGCGATTAGTCACTAGTGGCGATCCACAGGGATCAGTTTTGGGCCCATTGTTGTTCATAATATACATTAATAACTTTGATGAAAGAATTACAAGCGACTTCAGCAAATTTGCTAATGATACAAAAATAGGCCAAATAGTTGATTCATAAGAACATAAGAAAGGAGGAACACTGCATCATGCCTGTTGGCCCATACTAGGATACCAATGAACTCCAGGAGTATTTAGACAAATTAGTGTCTTGGTCTGAAAAGTTGCAGATGAAATTCAATGTGAACGAGTGTAAAGTCCTAATCCTTGGCAATGAAAATAACCCTGGAATTTATAAACTAGGTGGAGTAGAGCTTGATCATACAGAATGTGAAAAGGACTTGGGAGTCATGGTAAGCAGAAATCTAAACAAAAAAAAAAAAACAGTGCCTAAGTGTGCTCAACAAGGCTAACAGATTACTTGGATTTATTTCCAGAAGTATAAGTAGCAGAAGTCAAAAAGTTATTTTACAGCTCTATACATCACTAGTGAGGCCTCACTTGGATTATGTAAAGTAAAAAGACACAAGTGCAACGAATGTGACATTTTATTGTGGCAACGTTTCGCTCTCCAGGAGCCGTCGTTAACGGCTTGACAAAGCTCATGGAGAGCGAAACGTTGCCACAATAAAATGTCACATTAGTTGCACTTGTGTCCTTTTACTTTACATATTGTTGGTAATTCTACCAACATTATTACACTTGGATTATGCTGCTCAGTTTTGGTCTCCTTACTACAGGATGGATCTATATTCATTAGAGAACATACAGGGAAGAATAACTAAAATGATTTACTGTATAAGGAGTCTCTGGAGAGATGTAGAATGAGGGGAGATATCATCGAACTATATAAATGGGTGACGGGCATAAACAAAGGCGATATTTGTAGATGAATGGTTCAGAGAACCGACATGTTGATAAATTAGACACATGTGCAACTCTTGGGTATCTTTATTGAGGAAACGTTTCGCCACACAGTGGCTTCATCAGTCCATACAAAGGAGAATCTTGAAGAACAGGAGGAGAATGAGGTAATCAGTCCCTCAGCCTTGAGTCGATGTGGTCAGTCCATCAATCTATTCAAGATTGATGGACTGACCACATCGACTCAAGGTTGAGGGACTGATTACCTCATTCTCCTCCTGTTCTTCAAGATTCTCCTTTGTATGGACTGATGAAGCCACTGTGTGGCGAAACGTTTCCTCAATAAAGATACCCAAGAGTTGCACATGTGTCTAATTTATCAAAGGCGATATTAATAAAATACTGAGGACATCAACTCAGGTAAGAACCAGGAGTAACGGATTTAAGTTGGATAAATTTAGATTTAGAAAGGACATAAGTACTGATTTTCAGAGTGGTCGATGAGTGGAACAATCTACCGAATAGGGTGATAGAGGCTAGGACCTTATGTAGCTTTAATAAGAGATTGTACAAATATATGAGTGGGAGGGGCTGGGTGTGATTAGCGTTGCGGGTACGGGAGTAAATTCTTGGGTAGCTGTAGTTTAGATAAGGACCTGCCTTATATGGGCCACTAGACCTTCTGCAGTGTTCATCCATTCTTGTGCAAGAAAGGTATAAAATACCGACAATATGAAAGTTAAGACACATGTGCAACATCTGGATATCTTTATTGTAGTAGACGTTTCGCCATCCAGTGGCTTTATCAATACAGATTCAAGGACATAATAGGAAGACAGTAGAACTATATACAAAAGATGAGGTAATCAGTCCCTCGGCCTTGGAGTTAGTGTTCACAGCATCGTGGTGGAGGAGAATCTGGAGCAAAGACAAGAAGACTGGCGGTTTATATAGGCGTCAGTGGATAGGGACGGGCAGCAGACGAGGGCAGTCACTGGTAGGCGGGATTCCTCAGTGGAAGTAGGTCCTTCCCAAAGAGATGGGTTAGTTGTAGCAGCCGTGAAGGTCTTGTAGATGTCCTCTGAACCAAGATTCCATGATGTTGCAGTGTCTGACAAGTTGTGCAAGAAAGGTATGAAATACCGACAATATGAAAGTTAAGACACATGTGCAACATCTGGATATCTTTAGATGTCTGTATGTTAGAAGTGATCAAGGTTCCAGGACCGAAACGTTTTCTAATAAATATGTTATAGTGTTTGCTTACGTGTCTTTCTAAACCAACTTGTCGGTATTTATTACCAAGGTTTATACCAGGGCAACATGGGTTTAGAACAGGTCGCTCCTGTCTGTCTCAACTATTGGATCACTACGACAAGGTCCTAGATGCACTAGAAGACAAAAAGAATGCAGATGTAATATATACAGTCTTTGCAAAAGCCTTCGACGAGTGTGACCATGGCGTAATAGCGCACAAAATGCGTGCTAAAGGAATAACAGGAAAAGTCGGTCGATGGATCTATAATTTCCTCACTAACAGAACACGGAGAGTAGTAGTCAACAGAGTAAAGTCCGAGGCAGCTACGGTGAAAAGCTCTGTTCCACAAGGCACAGTACTCGCTCCCATCTTGTTCCTCATCCTCATATCCGACATAGACAAGGATGTCAGCCACAGCACCGTGTCTTCCTTTGCAGATGACACCCGAATCTGCATGACAGTGTCTTCCATTGCAGACACTGCAAGGCTCCAGGCGGACATCAACCAAATCTTTCAGTGGGCTGCAGAAAACAATATGAAGTTCAACGATGAGAAATTTCAATTACTCAGATATGGTAAACACGAGGAAATTAAAACTTCGGAGTACAAAACAAATTCTGGCCACAAAATAGAGCGAAACACCAACGTCAAAGACCTGGGAGTGATCATGTCGGAGGATCTCTCCTTCAAGGACCATAACATTGTATCAATCGCATCTGCTAGAAAAATGACAGGATGGATAATGAGAACCTTCAAAACGAGGGAGGACAAGCCCATGATGACACTCTTCAGGTCACTTGTTCTATCTAGGCTGGAATATTGCTGCACACTAACAGCACCTTTCAAGGCAGGTGAAATTGCTGACCTAGAAAATGTACAGAGAACCTTCATGGCGCGCATAACGGAGATAAAACACCTCAATTACTGGGAGCGCTTGAGGTTCCTAAACCTGTATTCCCTGGAACGCAGGAGGGAGAGATACATGATTATATACACCTGGAAAATCCTAGAGGGACTAGTACCGAACTTGCACACGAAAATCACTCACTACGAAAGCAAAAGACTTGGCAGACGATGCAACATCCCCCCAATGAAAAGCAGGGGTGTCAATAGCACGTTAAGAGACCATACAATAAGTGTCAGGGGCCCGAGGCTGTTCAACTGCCTCCCAGCACACATAAGGGGGATTACCAACAGACCCCTGGCAGTCTTCAAGCTGGCACTGGACAAGCACCTAAAGTCGGTTCCTGACCAGCCGGGCTGTGGCTCGTATGTTGGTTTGCGTGCAGCCAGCAGTAACAGCCTGGTTGATCAGGCTCTGATCCACCAGGAGGCCTGGTCACAGACCGGGCCGCGGGGGCGTTGACCCCAGGAACTCTCTCCAGGTAAACTCCAGGTAATCAGTCCCTGAACCTAGGAGTAGGTGCGAAGAGCACCGTAGTCGTGGAGATTCATTTTAACAAGTCACAAAGAGATGTACCTGGATGGAAGGTACGTAGATGTGTTTGTGACTTGATAAAGACCACTGCGTGGGCGAAACGTTGTCAGTAAAGGAACACATTTTACTGCTCACGTGTTTATATATCCATTGTGTCGGTATTTTGTAGCATTTATTTACGTCTATATGACATTTATTAAGAGAACGTTTCGCCATGAGAGGCTTCAGTCCTACGACTGAACACTCTCATGGCGAAACGTATATTATCTTAATTTATGCATACTTAACTTTCGCGACAATCTGTGGGTATCAGTACACTGGTGGGTATTACTACCAGTACACTAGTGGGTATTACTACCAGTACACTGGTGGGTATTACTACCAGTACACTGGTGGGTATTACTACCAGTACACTAGTGGGTATTACTACCAGTACACTAGTGGGTATTACTACCAGTACACTGGTGGGTATTACTACCAGTACACTGGTGGGTATTACTACCAGTACACTGCTGGGTATTACTACCAGTACACTGCTGGGTATTACTACCAGTACACTGGTGGGTATTACTACCAGTACACTGCTGGGTATTACTACCAGTACACTGGTGGGTATTACTACCAGTACACTGCTGGGTATTACTACCAGTACACTGGTGGGTATTACTACCAGTACACTGCTGGGTATTACTACCAGTACACTGCTGGGTATTGCTACCAGTACACTTGTGGGTATTACTACCAGTACACTGCTGGGTATTACTACCAGTACACTGGTGGGTATTACTACCA